CACTCTCTCCCCCTAGATAGAGTGCCATGGTGTCATAGTTCACAGCAATCTCAAACTTTTTGGCTTGAGCAATCCTCCTGCCTGCCTCAGCCTCCCAAGTAGCTGAGACTACAGGAGCCCACCAGAACACCTGGGTAGTATTTCTATTGTTAGTGGAGACAGGGTCTCACTCTAGCTCAGGCTGGTCTCAAACTTCTGAACTCAGGTCATCCACCTGCTTTGGCCTCCCAGAGTGCTAGAATTATAGGCTTGAGCGTTGTGCCTGGCCCACCTGTTCCTTTAAACAAAATTGTAATGTGATAGTAGGACGTGCTAACTTACATGCCCTGTATGATATTCCTATGAAGCTGCAGTCTCTCTCGAGCTCCTTCTCCATCAGCCTTCCATTTTTCAATTTGGTCAGTCTGTCCTGAACTGTCTCTGCTATCTCTTACTCACATTTCACCATTTTATCCAGGAAGATAGTCTGGGGAAGTTTTACCAAATGCCTTTAATTCACATATTCAATGAATTTCTCTCATAGCAACCTCTCTGAAAACAGAGAGACAGAAAATGAGAGGCTGGACTAGGCCCAACTGCTGAGTCCGGCAGGCACCCACCACCACTTCCCGTCTTTGACCCCTACTCAAAGGTCAATTTCTTGAGCCACTGATCCCCAGCTCAAGTATGGAAATAAACACACAGTATACAAGCCAGTTCTCTCCCTGCAAGATCTGAGGAACTCAGCGATTAAGTACCTGTATTTAATTTGGATCCTGAGAACACAGAGAGCTTAATAAATGTTAGCTAACTACATGTGCAGGTGAACAATTTTCTTGCGGTACCAGAATGTTTAGGATCATTGTTTAGATGATGTGTCACCTCCAGGCCTTGGTTTGCCCCAGATGAACTGGGTGCTCCCAAAGGAACATGTACCTTAGAGTTGGGAAGAGGCCAAGCTGCATAGCAGCCCTGTCTCCTGCCAATTCTGTGACCCTGGGTGTGTGACTTCACTTCTGTCTCTCCACTAACACCGCTAGGCTTTTCTGGGATTATCATCATTCAGAAACAGCATGCTGTCCTAGTTCCTTTCTCCACCTCATCCTCACAGAGGGTGACGGCAAGTGCTGGACAAGAAGGTGTTCCTCGTTCTGACACCAGTGACTGCTACTGTCCCGGCCACTAAGTCTTCAGCCACATTTCCAGGGACGGAGTGAGGTTTCCGGCCCTGGTTAGCACGGGGCCTTCCTGTGTTACTGTTTTCATACTTCTCCTTCCTTTCCATCAGCTCTTACATTAACAAAATTATTTCCATTGAGAGCTATAAAAAGTCTTTTCTTTTTTTAATTTTTTTTTTTTTATTGTTGAGGATTCACTGAGGGTGTAAGAAACCAGGTTACACTGATTGCATTTGTTAGGTAAAGTGCCTCTTATAATTGTGTCTTGCTCCCAAAAGGTGTCACACACCGAGAACCCACCCCCTTCCTCCAAGAGCCATGAAAAATCTTGCTCACTAATCAGTGAAGAGATACATGCAGAATGTTCTAGACCTACATCTTAGCTTTTCTGAAACTGTATTCCTCCTGGAGCCTGTCCCTGCTTGCTGCGGGCCTAGGAAGCCCACCTGCCTTTTGTGACCAACCTCTGGACCGATTAGGGCTTGGCATGAATCCAAACATCACTGCATTGCCAGGCCTGGCAAATTTTCTCATTCCAAGGGAGACGCAGAGCTGAATTAGATGGTTTCAAGCCCTAGAGTTGTAAAGCCTTCAGAAGCTGGGGACGGAGGCAACCCCAGGCTAACCCACGCCCTAGGCAGGCAGAGGTTATGAGGTGATGGAAGCCAGGAGCCTGGCAAGGAGAACTGTGAGGCACTGGAAAGAGAGACAGGACACTGTGTAACCTCCAAGACACAAACAGACACACACCAGGAGCAGCTGCCCTGGGTCCCCATCCTCTAACCTTATGCTGTGGGTTCCATAAGATTCCTTGGATGTGAACCAATAACCCATATAGATTCTTGAGCTTTTGTTCCATGAGTTTCTGCACCCACAATAAAATAAACTATAACCAAGACCCATCTCTGTAGATTCTTCCCAAGTTTTCTCTTTCCCCACTGTGGCTTTACAAAATTGGACCGTGGCACCTGCCAGAACCTGGGCCAAGGTGGTGTGCTTTGATCCCACATGCCCTTTGCAAGACAACAGCACAGAAACCTTTGCCAGTCTCTGATTAATTTTTCTCAAGAGGGAAAAGTTTATTGCAGGTTGGGTACACTTGTAAAAGGCAAAATCTAACAGTAAGAAGGAACCCGAGGGCCCGCCAATTGAGAAGATGAGCAGGTTAAAACAAATACACCGATTATGTACAATTATTAAAAAGAGCAGGGCAATGCACAAAAAGGAAAAACTGCCAGCAGCCTTCCGGAGTTAACAGAGGATGTCCAGGGAGCGCCCTCTTGCCCCGGCCCTGGCTGTGCCCGCGCGAGTTTCCTCCCGTGTGGTTTCCGCCTGGCTCCAGATCAGCAGATAACGACGGGGGACACTGGGGCCCTCAGGAGCCGTGTTCACTCTGCTCTGCCAGCAGCTGCCTGAATAGAAGCCCCCTTTGATGCCACAGGTGCCAAGCCTTTCCCTAAAATCCCCGAAGGCGGCTTCCCTAGCACATCCTCATACACGCCCCGGGACAGCTGGTAGACACCTGAAGACCTGGCCTTCTCCTGCGTCTGTGTATAAACAAACACCCAGCCTCAGACGAGCTGGCACCCCAGCCCAATGGCTGTGCAGCTTTGTGGGCAAACCAGGAGCACTTGGCATCAATGTCCAGTGACCAAACTATCTTCTTCAGTGTCCGCTTCTTCTATTAGAAGGTCAGTCCCTTCCCCCTGCAGCAGAAGAAGGTGTCATGTCCCTTCTTACAGGGCTCCCACAAAGGGACAAATGCAGTCCTAAATCTTTTGTAAAAAACAAGAAGGAACACTCTGAGTTTACTTAAATAAGGGAGAGCTCTTGGTTCATCCAAGTGTTTCTATAAAAATGCATTTAACGCTGGATAAAAGTTGCACATTCTCCTGGTGTGGTTGTAAAATGTCCACTGAACTGAAATCAGGGATAATTTAAAATGAGTCACTCCAAGTATCTGCCAGCAAAGCCGATGTGGTCTGGGACACCTGCAGGAACCAGAGGGCAGAGTCCAGAGCACCAGAGAAGGCCGCGGCCGGTGCTAGGCTCCAGAGCACCCGGCCCCTGTCCCCTGCAGCCCGGCAAGGCCAACAAGCTCCCAGTTGCAGAGAAAGGCTCCTGGTGAGGGCAGCACGGCCAGGCCAAGCACAAGAGCAGGCTCCTGGCGTGGCGGAGGCGGTGGCTTGGCCTGTGCAAGGGCTCAGTCTCGGTGGCGGCGCCAGGTCCCGGCCCGCTCACCACCTGTGGCAGCAGGGGGACAGGAGGGTGCGGGAGATTCCGGAGGGGCAGCAGCCAGGGCTGCCGCCCCGGACACAGGGCTCCCCTCGGCGGCGGGAGGCACTGGAGAGTCCTGCTCCGTCCCGGCTCTGCTGCTGTCTTGACAGTGCTTACTGCAGAAAATCTGCCCCTCCTTATCTAGAGCCGTGTTCTGGGGAGAAACCAGCAGAGATAACATGTTACCCCAGCCCAGCCTCGGGTCACGGTTTCCACGACCAGAGAGCGCGACAGAGCATGCAGGGACTCGGAAGCAGAAGAGGAGAAATAACGTCAAGCTTCTGAGAGAAGCCATAGAGGTAGAGGGTACCCACCCCTGGGGAACGGGCTGGCCTGGCCCCTGCACCTACCACGACCCGGGCTGGGGGCCCAGGGACAAAGCAACTGGGCGTCCACTGTCCTACCTAGTGCTGAGCTGTGCCTGGGCCTCGCCTGCTCTGCCCATGCCTCGACCTGAAGCGCAAAGGAATCCGGAGACAGTGAGTGAACCCAAGGAGGGGCTAGTCTTCCGGTTTGCTTTTCTAAAGAAAGTTTTGTCACAGATAGGAAAGTCCCTCGAATGTCACCTGCGTGAGTAACCCCTCACAGCCTATGGTGGTGTAATCTGTAAAAAGCCCGGGAATCCGATGGAGCCGTGTCGTCCGCCTTTCAGATTCTACCCGGCCTCCTCACTTGCTCTCTCCGTGTGAAGGATTCCGCACCTCAACACACCCAGGAGTTTTCAACCTGCTCAGCAACTCAGGGAGCAGAGAGCAGCCACCAGAGGGAGGAAATCGCCTTGCTCTCGGTCCCCAGGCTGGGAAGGGAGACTGGGCCTTCTTTTCTCCCTCTTGGAGCATTTCTTCTTGAGAAACCCATCAAGCTGCCACCTCACTGGCTTTTCCAACTCTGATGGGGCCTGTAGTTCTCAGGGACCATCAGCTAAAAGGGACGATGGTCCGGAGTCATCTGTAATCTACCCTCGGGGAAAATGTCCTATAGATTCTTTCAGGATTGAACAACAACAACAAGAAAGTCTGGAGAAAAAAGAATCCATGACAGGGCTTGCCCAGACTGACCGGTGTGGCACGTGGTGCCAACTACAAACAGGTGTTCTCCACGAGCCCTGCCAAGCTGGGCTGAGCAGTCCGTAATTCCCACGGCCACTCTGATCACCTGCAGAAGCAGTAACCGTGGAAAAGCCTGGTCAGAAATTTAGTGTCCGAGCTCCGAGTGCAGAGGAGGCCGCCCTGCCCCAGGTAACATGGAAAACACAGGCAGCAGTTGTTCCTACCACGTTTCTCCTTGGTAGAAGAAAACAGTAACCCCAGTTATTTCTCCTTTTCTCTTCCTGTCACGAGAACAGGTATTGTGTGCAGCAGGGAAGCTGGCTGTGCAGTTAGTACATACCGTCGCCTTGGACCTAGTCAGAGGGGAGCAATGCAGGCAGCGGGAGAGGCGAGAAGGCGGGAGAGAAGCGGGGACAGAAACCAGACTTACTTTCAACAGAAGCAACATGAGTGAAACAGTTTTGTCTATCTTAAAGTAAGGAAAGAAACCCGAATCATTCCCCAATTTTCCTCTAAAAGGAAGCACAATCCCCGAGTGGAGAATGCAGTCCTCTGGAATCCATCCTTTCCCAGGTCTGCACGGGAAGACACAGGGCTGAGGTTTCTTATCACTCCCTGTCCAGCCTCCTTCGGGGTCTGGGATGGGGGAGCCCTTGGGGTACACATACTGCCTGTCACGGCGAGTCAGAGAAAATGGAAGGGTGATAATCCCAACCCATAGCCTCTCTGAAACCAAAGCTTTATCTAATAAAATTATCTTCTCTTATTCCAAAGGCTGGCTAACTTTATACTGTCTTATTGACAAAAATTCATCTTTGGAAAGACAGCTGGTGAAGGAGGACAAAACACCGTCACAAAGGCACTTGTCTTATGCTGCCATTCACAAAAAGAGGCTTTTTCTATGTTAGTGGAAAATAGCTTTCAGCAGGAGAACCACTGGAATCATCGCCCTGCGTATTTGCCAGCTTCTGATCTAGGAAGGAAGGCAGCGTGGCAAGCTGAGATGTTTTAAAACACAGTTTTCCAAGGGCACACTTGGCTGGCTGAGAAGGGCGCCAGCAGGTACAGGAGACCCGCGCCAGTAAGGAGCTAAGAGCTGGGCTGCGGTGTCAGGAATCTGAGACAAGCATGCAGACTGCAGGCTGCGGATTAGGAGGGGCTCTGAGGAAGCACAGCACGGTGAATACCAGGATTCTGCTTCAGGCCTTCCCACTGTCTCAACTGGGTAAAGAAGGAAATTCTGAGGTGTCTCTCAAACTGTCAAATCAAACTGTCAAATAAAATGCAGACAACAGCATGAACATCACTTTGTTTTGCCTTTATTTAACAATTCCTATCCTATAATTTTGTCCCTGAAGCCTCAAGCCCCAACTTTGCAAGAACACTGGGGTGAGAACAGAAGGAAGGTTCTGCCTGTTAGCTATGCAGTAGTTGTCTGAAGATTCAGCCTCAAAATATTCACACACTATGTCCACTCTTCACTAGTATCTGCAGGAAACCATATTAGCCCTACATACCCTAGTTAGGAGGACATACGAATACCAGGGAGAGCCATTTTGAGGTTTCGTTTTTTTGTTTTTTCAAATAGGATCTCACTCTGTGCTAGAGTGCTATGGCCTCAGTCTAGCTAACAGCAAACTCAAACTTTTGGGCTTACGTGATCTTCCTACCTCAGCCTCCCAAGTAGCTGGGACTACAGGTGCCCACCACGACATCCAGCTAATCTTTATATTTTTTTGTAGAGACAGGGTCTTGCTCTTGCTCAGGCTGGTCTCGAATTCCTGAGCTCAGACAATCTACCCACCTCGGCCTCCCAGGGTGCCAGGATTACAGGTGTGAGCCACCGTGCCATTATTTTCAATATAAAAACATTTAAAACTGTTCCCAAGGACAGACACGCAGACACAGGTGATGGTGAGGAGGACAACACAGAAGCATCACCAGCTTCCCCGACACAACCATGCCCCGGACCAGGTCCTGAGTTGGGTGAGGATGAGGAGGAGGCCTCCTCCTCCCACCACTTTTGGAGACAAGCCAAAATTCACAGGCCAGAGCCCAGCTTCACTGGTCTCTCCTGTTGTGCTGAGTGTGACAATGACATTCAGCAGTTCCTCAGAGCTAACAGCCTGCAGAGTTGTGTAGGGAACGTGGGGTTAGAGGGGCCCTGCCACCATGCACAGAATGACAACAGAACACATGTAAACACACAACTTTCACAGTCACCATCGGAGTTACAAGGAAGAAAGCGTTGTCCATTCACACTGACACCCTATTCAAGCCCAGGGCTTTGCCATTTGACTGCTGAACTTCTTCACCAGCAAATGGGAAAATGCCGCTCTACGTAAACCATGTAAGGTAGGTTCTGTCTGAGGGGAGCCGGGCATCCTCATCCGGAGCAGAGCCTGGGCTGGGCCGTGAGGCAGAACAGCCAATCATCACAGAACCTCTGCCGAGAGCCATTCATAGACAGACTGGCACAGGCTTCTGGCCACTGAATCAAAAAATGACCCAGGCAATGACTCCCTTACGAGTCACTGGGATTTCCCCTGAGCCCTGGGTACAGGGCAGTGAAGGTTCTCCCTTTTAGAAGACTGTGAGGCTTAATTAATACAGTTATTAAATTTTGATGGCAACAAATCTCTCTTAAGGTTTTCAGTACATATTGAGAATGCCAATTGCTCATGTTTTATTTTCCTAACTTTTCCCAGAAGCTGCCCCAATGCAGTACACGGCCAGGCTGCAAACCACTTATCCCATCCATCAGTGCCAGCTCTCCTAGGGGAGTCACTTGAAAATGTTCTCATGCTGGGGGCTCAATCAAGATGGTTCTTTTCAAAGTGTAAGCTGTAATTCTATGACAACTCTGACTTCCTAGGTTTTCAGCAAAACAACTCTCGAGACCTTTCCAGCATTCTGGCTCAGAGCACCCCCAAAGTCCTACAAGTCATCAAAACATCCAGTTTGCAAACTGGGGCTTTGTCTGGGTACAGGGGTGCAGCAGGGGGGCTGCAAGGGTGTTCAGAGGGAGGCCTGACAAATAAACACAGTCTGCCCTGGGGGAGAGAAGAGAGACAGACCAGCAGGTGCTGAGGCCGGGGGATGCCCAGTACACACAGCAGGGCATTTCACACCAGGGGCTGTGGGCCACACGGAGGTGTGTGGTTGGCAGTGTGGCCGTGCGCTTCCTTCCAGCGTCGATCTGGACCCCAGGTTAGGGTCCCGGACTACCATGCACCATAAGAAGAAGCAACTGTTTCCCCTCTGGCTGGACAGGAAGCAAGCAAACCCTTTCTAGAGGGTGAGAGGCCTGTCCTGGGGTGAGGGTGATGAGCTGTGGAGATGGCCCAGTCCTAGCTGTCAGGACCCAGGGTCACTGGGGAGGCCAAGCGCCTGACACCTCAGTGTGGACTCTCTCCTCCGGGGGGTGGGGTGGGGAGAACAGAGATGCCTGTCAGTTTTACTTGGCTACCATGGCCAGGGAAAGACACTCAGAGCTAATTTACAACCCAATCTTACGGGTGCCCAGGCCTGGACAGCTGGTGTGGGGTATGTTGACCTCACCTCTGGCTCAATTCTTATTTTTTCCTTCCCTATTCTCCTTTTGCTTCACCTCCTTTAATATTGCTTTTCGTTTTAATCTATTGTGCTTGTGTATTTAGGTAAGCTGCCTTAGAGAACATTTTGGAAGAATAAAGGGGTGCAAAAAAGATGGCCATTGTTGTTACTGGCCTCTCCTAAAAGTTTGCCAATACAGAAAAAAACTAATTGTTTTTACATTGTTCTGTACTTTCAAAAGCCCCAAACTGTCTTTTATAAAATACTGATTTTTTAAAAAATGAACTCTGTTTAACTCTGGCCTGTTTCTTTTCCCAAGTTCCAAAGAATAATTCGTCTTTCAAATCATCTCTTTCTGAAGCCCTGCATACCGGGAGTTACTTCCTTGTACTGTAATTCCCACTGGGCTTGGGGTCTCCCTCTGGATGAGAAAGCAGAGGCGAGAGTGGAAGCAGCTGCCTCGGAGGGTCCCGAGCCCAGGAGCTGCCTGGTGCCTGGACCCATCAGACTGGCCTTGTTGGCACCTGCACAGGCCCAAACTGCAGTGCCCACGGCCTGGGAGTTGGCCAGATGAGTGCCCTCCACATGCCAAGCCAATCTGCACATGAAAATAGGGACATGGAAGTACCAACTTCCATGTGAGAGTTCTTCTTAGCTACTTAATTCAAAGGATTCAATGTTGGCTCAGCAGTCAGGCCAGACAGGGCAGTGTCCCATAGCAGGCGCATGCGTGCCACTCACCATGATGACGGAGACCCCAGTGGTGGTGCTGTTCTGTTTGGGAAGCGCATTATTAAAGTGCTGTTTTAGTTTACCTGTTACCTCAGCTTGCATATTATTCTCCTGGGAGGCATCATCCTACAGGAAAGAAAAGAATCCAATAGTGATTTGTGACCATCACATTTCAGCTGCCTGTCCCTTCACAGGCGTCCCTCTGCCCCTGACCTCTTCCTTAAAGGGCTGATCTGACCCACAGGATCAGCGGAACCATGATGTTTCAAAAGCAGTCACTGTTCCTCTGCAACGCTATGGCCTCGGAAAGACCCCGTGCAGGTGGCACCACTCCTCAGGCCTGGAGGAGGCTGAGGACAGGGCAGTCTTCATGAGACAGAAGCACCATTCTTTAGGCTTCTGAGACCTTCCCCCAAGGCACATAATCTAGAATGATCCCTCCCATGGAGACACCAAAATTAATTAACAATTTATCATTTTAGTCAAGAATTCATTTAGTTGTTAGTTTTTATTGCTCATAAACAAATGTGGCATCCCAGCTACCTGGTCCAAGAACCGAGTCACTTAGTCTGGAAGAGCAGCAAGCAGGATCAGAGAGGGTGCACCAGAGGTCACGAAGTGGGGGGCAGTGAGGTGCACAGGGACACCCCCACACTGCCACCCACCTTAACAAAAGCCTTTGGGTCATGTAAATCAGCTTCCCTCTCCTGGAGCCTCCAGGATATGCAGGAAATGTGAGCTCCCCATTGTGGTTGTTCAGTGTGCTACGTTGACCCTAGACCCATGGGCATCACCCAAGTCCAAGGGGACTCTGCCCAGCTGTCAAGACACAACGTCTCAGCCTCCCATCAGCAGCAGGAGGGCTCCCCTGAGCACGGCTGTAACAACACAGACAGAGATCAGGGTCTGAAACGTGCTCACCTGCAGGGCAAAACTCGAAAACGCTCAACCCCAGAAGCACAGAAGGCGAGAGGGGAAAGCTCCTTAAACAGGCCCGCAGCCAACTCCTTTATTCTGCAGACGAGGAAACTGGGGCCCAGCAAGTGCCAGGGACTTGCCCAGGTTACTCACAGGCAGCATCTAAGACTAGGACCCTGGTGCCACCTGCTTTCTCCCAGGTAGCCACCTTCAGGCCACTTGCTCATCAGGAAAGACAGGCATTTCGCCAACCACAGAGCTGAGGAGCGGAACTCTGCGTGTGCTAAGCACACGGCCGGGAACTGTGCTGTTGGCCACAGAACACACAGACGTTCGTTCCCTACGAATGTGGCTACTTACTGACACCCAGGGGTGACTCAGGATTTGTCCCGCGGTACACCGAGCTTCAACGTTTACCTGAAGCATTTGACTGATTAATTCCTAAAAATTAAAAAAAAAAAAATAATAAGACTCCAGAGGGAGAGAAAGGCAGTAATTCCAGCATAAATACAGAAATCTGAGTTTGTACAGGCACCCTAGCAAAAAGCTAACACAGGGGCTCGGCCACACGGATCCACACTCTCAGCATCTCCCCCCAATGCCCCCGGCACTGACGAGGCCAGCACAGCGCACGGCAAGAGAGGGGTTCTCCTGGGTCTACGTGAAACCAAGACGTCCTCTCTGGAGAGCTCGGGTCATTATTTTCAGCCCACAGGGTAAAACTGCCGTATTTTTCCTTTTGGCAAATCAGTATATCTCAGAGGTTCCTGCCTATATTCTGACCGATGCCCAATATGTACTTCTTGAATAAGTGAAAGATCGAATGTCGAGAGCTCAGAGGAGCATGGAGGACGGCAGGGCACACTGGGAAGGTGCCGGTCAGCTTTCAGAATGCAGCTGGGAATTTCAGAGACCGCACCCAAAAAGCCGAGAAGTCCCTGGAGCTCAATCCCAAGAGCTGCTACAGCTCCATCAAGGGGTGAGGACGCACCGGACCGCGTGCCATAACCCAGAGAAACAGGCCTCAAGGGTACCTTAGCAGAGTCCGTGATGTTATCCCAGTAGGGGGCTGGAAACTCCAGCTTTCCAGCCAATATCTGGTCAAAGAGATCTTCCTGGAGATTGTTCTCACTAAGTCAGTGACAAGGAAAGGGAAGAAAAGCCAAAGTTACCATCCAGTTTCTCAACAAAACGTGCATGGGAACAGGGCAGGGAAGGAGTCCGTCTTTTTGGCTTCCTGTATCAATCGTGTATCTCAATTGCATTTCTGATGACAAGCTTTACCTTTCTGACAATGAGCCCCAAAACATTTCCTCAGGCCGGGGACTGAGGCAGAGAGACTAAGACAGAGATAACGACTCAAGAAATTTGTTTGATGAATGGAGAGTTTGAGTTTGGGAAGATGAACAGGTTCTAAAGCTGGATGGTGGTGAT